AGCATGTACTTCAATCCGAAACCTATAGACAATACGTCTCCGAACGTGTCTACCTCATACGAGCCTAGTTCTACGACTCCTCCCCTTTCGGTTCTAAAAGTCGCTAATCCAATTAGAAGGTGTTTAATCAACTAATCATGTGGAATCAACAAACCCTAACTCAACAAATCAATATTCAATCATTTCCCATCTCAAAATCGAAGTGTCACTCTTCGATTATATCAATAAATTAACCTAAGTGTTACTCTTAGGTTATATCAAATTATCAATAAATCAAGCAAGAATTCATCAATTCCTAATCAATTCAACTCGCACAAGAATGAACAAATTAACGCCCAACAATCACGAATTAAACAAGAATAATCATCCTCTATCCCTAGCAATCGGAATTAACTAAGCATGATAAAATCGAACACAACAAAAGATTTAACACAAGCTTTCATGTTCATAATCAAATGAAGAAAATTTACTATTAATCCAAGTTGAGAATCGAAATCAAAATTAGAAGCCAAACCGAGTTCAAAAGAAGTCTTGTATTCTCCAAATATTACACTCACAAATAAAACCAAGAAAAGGAAGAAAAGAAGAGAAGAAGAAAAGAGTAGAGGAGAAGAGGGAGAACCCCTTTATGGAGTTGTTTCTTTCAATCCAAAACCTTGCCCTATTTATAGATGTTTTCTCCCTTTTTTTCATCCATGAATCTTTCCACAAAACATGCTAAAATGTTCATGGCTCAAAACATGGAGGAAATGGCTCAAAACATAGAGTTAAAAGCTCCACTTTTTGAACAATAGTGAAAGTACCCTCAAAATAGGTCATAGTGCCTTAAATTGGGGAAGTAGTGGAGGGTCCCAGGTCCTAGTGCCGCTAAGGGGGCCCTAGCGCCGCTAGGGGGTGCCTAGCACCGCAAGGCCAAAAGTCCGAGCCTCAGTTGGTCGCTACCCCCTCTAGCACCGCTAGGGGGGCTGGGCTGCGTGACTTTGCGTTTTGGGCTCATTTGGGCTCGTCCGAACTTGGAATTGAGTTATGTTTCTTCCTACACATCGCTAACGAAGTCTTCTGCACAATATGCTTTCAAATCCAACTTATTCTTGAAAACCTATTTTCCCAAATCTCTTGACTTGAAGTTGGCGTCTTCCGTGCACGACTTCGCATATTGGGCCAGTTCGGACTCGTACGAACTCGAAATCGAGTTTCACTTTTTCCTATATATCGCCAACGAACCCATCTATCTAACCATCATTTCCCGGCCCATTTTCGAGCCAAATCTATTCGTCATGGGCTTCTGACCTGCACACCAAAAACAAGAAGAAAAACGTAGAAAACTGACAAAATATACGAAAAACACATAAAAGCCAAAATAGAGCAAAACATACAATAAACTTCAAAAAGAACTAAAAACTAACAAAAAGACCTAAAACGGGGAAAATGAACAACAAAACAGTAACGAAAAACTTAACAAAAATGGTCACAACAGTCCACCTTCCAGTTTTCCATGAACTCAAGCTTCCATGAGTTATTGCGCACGTTCGTGCTAGTGTTGTTCAACGACATCTTATTCTAATCGAAGAATTGGACATAGCACATGGAGCATTTACGGGTTGTATTGGAGATCTTAGCGAAGAATTCCTTTCACATCAAGCCATCCAAGTGCTCCTTTGGCAAAGAGTCGATAGAGTATGTGGGCCACTTTATTTCATTCGATGGTGTGAAGGTTGACCCTCGGAAGATAGTGGCGATGATAGACTGGACGAAGCCCGACCAGTCTCACACAATTGTGCGGGTTTTGAGACTTATCGGATACTATTGGAAGTTCATCAAGGACTACGGGTCGATTGCCAAACCTCTGACGAAGGTGACCAAAAAGGGCAGGTTCAATGGATCGAGGCGGGTGAGGCCGCCTTTGACGAACTCAAGCATACCATGACGACGATACCCATCCTTCTGATGCCGAAAATTGACGTTATGTTCGAGGTTCATACCAACGCAAGAGATGTGGGGATCGGGGTTGTCCTTACCCAGGAGGGACGACCATTGGCTTATATCAATAAGGCTCTCAAGAGCATGCATGTTGGGTGGTCGGTGTACGCGAAGGAGATGCTCGCGGTCGTCGAGGTTGTGTGATGTTGAAGACCCTATCTTCTAGGACGACATTTTTGAATCGTGACGGATCAACAATTCCTTAAACATTTATTGGAGCAGAGGATAATTACCCCCGAGCAGCAAAAGTTTGCCTCGAAGATCATGGTGTTCCACTTTGAGATCGTCTATCGACCTGGGCGACAAAATTCGATGGACGATGTGTTGTCATGGAGGACCGATGTTGTTGAACTTGAGGCAATCACTAGGCTGACCTGGGCGTGTGGGATAAGATCCGTGAAGCTCAAGTCCAAGATACTTTCTACAAAGAGATTCGATGGAAGATAGGTGACCGCACAAGGAAGCCCAAGACTACGAGGACCATGACGGGCACCTCTTGTTCAGAGGGAAGGTTTTCATGTCGGGCGATGGTCAAGTGCGGGAATCGATCATGCGCCATTTCCACAGTTCGAAGGTTGGGGGTCATTCTGGATTTCATCGAACTTGGGTGAGGTTGGCCAACATGTTTTATTAGCCGGGGTAGCAAGAAGAGGTACGGGACTTCGTGGCCCGGTGCGATGAGTGGCAACAGGTGAAGGCTGACTCGAGGAAGCCGAGCGGGTTGCTACAGCCCTTGCCTGTCCTGGACAGGATTTGGGAGGACATTACCATGGACTTCATCGAAGGGTTGCGACCCTCAAACGGATTTGACGGGATCATGGTTGTGGTGGACCAACTCACCAAATATGCTCATTTTGTCCCACTCACTCATCCGTACACAGTGAAGTCTGTTACGAGGCTGTTTATCAAGTACGTAGTGAAGTTGCATGGGATACCGCAGTCTATCGTCTCGGACCGGGACTAGATTTTCATGAGGAATTCTCAAAAGGAGTTCTTTAAGATACACGAAACGAAGCTCGCGATGAGAATGGCCTATCACCTTCAAACTGACGGGAAAACAGAGGTGACCAACCGGACCTTGGAGCAGTATCATCGGTGTTATGTGCACCAATTTCCGAAGAGATAGTAGGAATTCCTACTGTGGACTGAGTTTTGGTATAATACAACGTACCATGCTTCGACCAAATTCACTCCCTTTGAACTCGTATACGAGCGACTGCCCCCTACACTCGTTAGCTATCCGATGGGAAAGTCCATGAACGAGGTGGAGCTCGAGTTGATGGAGCGCGATTCTATGATTCGCGAACTGAATAGCAACTTACACGGGTCGATCGGTCGAATGAAGATGTACCATGATAAGGGGAGGCGCGAAGAAGATTTCGAGCCAGGGCACATGGTGTGCTTAAAGTTGCGACCCTTTAGGCAGCATATGGTCTCGCAGAAGGCAGTTTATAAGCTCGACAGTCACTTCTACAGGTCGTACCAAGTGCTGGAGCGCATTGGCAGCGTTGCATATCGGCTGGATCTACAAGAGGAGTCGCAAATACACCCGATAATTCACGTCTCGCAGCTGAAGAGGAGTCTGAGTGATGGGCATTAAATGGGGACTCGGTTACTCGCCACGGCTGTTGATGAACAGCTGATCTTGCGGCCTAGATGTGTATTAGACTATCGCAAAACAAAGAAGATCGGGCGTTTCCATTCGGAGGTCCTAATCGAGTGGGACGAATTGTCGGATGAAGAGGTTACCTGGGAGAACCTTTATGAGATGCACAACTGTTTTCTGTCTTTCATCCTTGAGGACAAGGAATTGCTTGAAGGGAACGGGAATGATGTGAATGAGAAAAGGCTGCTAAAAAATGCTTACAGTCGCGCGTACCAGGCGCACAAGAGAGCAACTCGATTGGTCGAGGCCCGCATTAGCGAGCGCGAGAAAGAGCGGGTCAGTCGCACGATAGATGAGGCGCGAGGAGTTGGTCAACGCGAGTGTGTAGGACGCTGAGCACGATGAAGGCCACGACGAGTTGCGAGATGATCAGGCGCGCACGAATACGCACACAAGCGATGACGCGGACAGACACAACTCGAAGATGTCAGGTCAACAAGGCAATGATGCGGATGACTTGGGCTGCAAGACTAGAGGAGGTTCTAGAAGACAATGGGTCGATTCCTTCTAGATGCCTCCATATTATTTCCCATTATATTTTACTATTATATTTCCTTAGATTGTTTAGGCATTCAATAATTTGGATATTATTAGGATCCTAGTTATTTCTTTAGTTTGGGAGTCCAATTCCCGGAGGACTAGTATTGGTTCTACTATAATTATTTCGCATTGGTATTTGATTTCTTGCCATTAAGAACTTAATAAAAATTAATCTTTTTATCATCGGTTCTCGTGAATTTTATCATACACTTTGTGTAAAAGAAAGCCTAGGTGCGTCGTTTATGCAACCTATCGTCAACGAGGGTAGGCCTATTGCACGTCCATCCAAAGAAAAACAAGTCAGTCGAATTCACGAACTTCATCAAGGTCAGACGGCACGTGTATTAGGCTTCTTATGAAACAATGCGTGAAAAAACACTCAACCAATTCAAACTGCCAGGCAAATTTTGCTTTAGGTAAGTGGATGCAAACTTCTATATGGTTGAACCAGCTATTTGAATTCATATGAAAACCAAGTAAAATAATAACATCAAGATGTCTCAAGATAGATTAAACATAGAGAGAATACCAATGTTAATGGGATCAATCTATATAACAGGCTTGTATCCCTAATGAGCCAAGCACACCTAGAATTAGTGATCAAACTAGAAATCATCCCATAGAAAATCAACAGGCACCTGGCTCAAACCAGAAATCACTTACTGACATGTAAAAGAAACAAATCAAAGGTCATTCTAACAACTCATCAATACGAACAAGAAACAAAAGCTATCTTCCTAGGCAGCACCAGACAGCATGACAAGAAACATTTCAATGACAGCACAAAAATATAAGCAAACACTAAAAACGAAAATTACGTGGAACTAATTTCCCGTACACCACCACAGCTCCCTCCAATCAAGTGGTTGAGCATAACCCCAGCAGCCACACTAACATTCAAGCTCTCAACCGCCAAGAACTCACGACACCCACTGCCCACATCCTCATCAACCAACCCAACCGGTTGATTTCCAGGAATCCTAATCAACTCACTGCACGCTCTCTCCACCAAGGGCCTCAATCCAGTACCCTCACTCCCTAGCACAAGTATCGTGGGCTTGCCCGGCCCAACATCACCTATAGGCACAGCCTTCGGAGAAACCGAACCCCCGAGCACCCGCCACCCATTCTCCGCCGACGACCCCAAGAAGCGCATCATGTTCCTGCACGACCTGAGGTCGGTCAGCTCGAGCGCCCCAGCGCTGGCCTTGCTCACGACACCACTCAACGGAGCCGAGTTCTTGGCACAAAGCACCAACCCACAGGCACCAAAGAAGTAGGCAGAGCGGATGATGGCTCCCAGGTTCTGGGGGTCGGTGACCTCGTCCAGCGCCACCCACAGCGGGACCCGCTCACTCAGACCAGGCGAGACGCGGTCGAGCTCCTTTATGTCGACCATCTCAAGAGGCGAGGCGTCAAGCATGAGGCCCTGATGTGGCCGGTTGTCGACACACATGTTGAGGTCGTGTTTGGATACATCCTTTATTACTAATCCGATGTTTTCGGCCAACTTCAGGATTCGCTCGAAACTTCTCTTGTCCTTTTTCTTGTTGTTGGTGCTTAGGTTGAGGCCTTCTTGGATGTACAGAGCGTAAAGCTCCCTCCGCCCAGCCGAGAGCGCGGCAAGGACGGGGCCCACTCCGTAGATGCCCTCTCCTACTATTTTCGGCAGCGTGGATTCCTTGGCTTCTTTCCATGTCTTCCTGCCCCACTCGTCTTGCTTGTTCCATCTCTTGACCTCGGGCCTGGATTTTGAATTGACGAAGCCTTCGTACCTTCTCTGTATGTTATGCCATCTTGGATCGTTCGAAATTTCTGTGTCCCCATCGTCATCTTCGTCCCCGTCTTTGTACGGGAATTCTTTTCTTCTATTGTTTTCATAGTTATGGGTTTCTCTTACTTTAACTTCCACATCCGGGCCAGCGCCTTTTAGAAACTTCTCTGCAGACTCTTCCCACGAGGACTTAACCCCTTTACCTGTCTCATTCTTGGAAGCCTTCCTGCGTTCCCTTTCCATAGATGCAGATAACCAAGGAAGAGGTTTTTCACTGCTTTCACCTGCATTCCTAGAAACTGAACTGGAAAAATCTCTCAATCCCAGAAGGGAGTAATTCGAGAATGCTGCTTTCCTGTAATTTCTGGATCCAAGATTTTGAATTCGTTGGGTTACGTTTTCGTTAGAACCAGAAACTATATTGCAAGCAGCGAGCACGGAAAGGGGCCAGGGAACGTTAAACGGCCTCGCCATTTTGGTCGGCCTCGATGAAAATCTGAAAGCAAAAGGTAATGCAGCGGGCTTCGCCATATGATAGAACGTTGAAAGTGATGGTGTTCTTCTACTTTGCAAAAATTAACGCTTTGATTGAAATCTCACTCAAATATTCAAATTCAAAATTGATACTATCAAACTTCTAAATACATGACAGAGAAAACGAAGGCCACCTTACTAGCTATTGATATTTCGTTCCTTTCCTATCTTCGGGGGCACGGCCAAGAAAGGACTTAGGTCTCTCGGCCTCGGGAATTTTGGGAGGGTTTCTCTCAATTCTATGCGTTCTGTTCTGTGAAAGCCGGCTACAGAAGGCTGGGCGTTTAGCTAAGACTGGATGCAGATTATCCGGTCATTTTGACCATATATAATCTTTTTTACGGAATATTTAATTTAAATTTAACTCAACCTCATGCGATACACGGGAACAATATTAAACTAACAATATTATAAATAGATCTCGAGTTTGAGTCACTGACGTAAGTAGAAACTACTATTGATTCTATTTAAAAAGAGAAAGAAAAAAAATAATTATAAAGTAAAGAGGAGGATAAACAATACTTAATAATTATAAATTAAAGATTCGGGGTCAAACAATGTAAAACTATTTTGTATAAGAAAATATGAAATTTACATTATTTTGTATAAGAGAATATAAAATTTGCATGTTTAATATTAAAAACACCTAAAATATTATATTAGTATATATGTAAAAATATTCAATATTTTCTATATTATTTTTGAAAGATGTGAAGTCATCTACAACTTTTCTAAACAATTTTAGAAGGAAAACATATCTAAGAACATTTGAATTTAACATTGTGTAAAAAAGATTTTTCTAGACTATTTTGTAAAGAAAATATGTCTATATTTAAATTTAATATGTGTATATGTACATATATATATGTATAGTTTTTTAGAGATAATAATTCAACACGTGTATTTGTTTTAAGAAATGAATAACAAACTTAATACTATCAGTTTTGAATAATAATAAGGTGTATGAAATATCTTCTCCTTATAATAAGATTTTGTTTTTGAATCTTAAAATTATCCCAAATATCTTCTCGATTTTTTTTCTTCAATTTATCGTTAAAAAAATATGGTTTACCATAAAAAAATATGTGATAAGGATGCTCGTGTGAAATGGGATTATTTTGTTACCATAACAAATCATGTGATAAGGATGCTCGTCTGAATTGGGTTATTTCATGAGAATTAAATCGGTATAATTAATGAGTTTAAAAGGCATGTGAAAAGGACATAAATGCTGAGCGATGTGAAATGGACATAAGAGTTACCGATTTTGGAAAGTAATAAATGCAAAACTGACTTTGACCATTAATTAAGTTACTAATTTTGATAAATGGTAATTCTTATTATATAAGTATAGATTCGACTCTCTTGTTATCAATAAGATTAAATAATGACAATTAATCATCTCAATTCTAATTTATTATTTGTCAACTTAAGTAATTTTAACTATTCATTACTTATAATCACTCATCTCCTATATTTACATCAAATCAACTTTAATCGTTATTTTAAAATATAATTTTAACTACTCATAATTTTCAATCACAACTCTCCTACTTTTACACTAGATCAACTTTAATAATTCTATTTTAAACATAATTTTAATACAAATTAAAAATCTCACGCAAACCTAACTCAATCAAGTTTTTCAATATCAATTTTGATCATCAATCAAAAATCCAATTACCCTAATATGGCAAAAGACATGACATGACACACTTAGTGGACAAAGAGAAAAATCTATCTATTATAAAAGGGAAAAAATTTAGACTAACATTATGTTTGCCTTGTTTCTAAATTTTGCAATCTAATCTTTCTTTTTTATAATTACCAACTTGAACTGCACGATATAGAGAATTTGCTGCCTTAGTCAGTCAGTGGATTAAAATTCGAAAATCATTTGGCGTGAAACAAAAATATTTCTTAGGGGCACTTTGATAAATTAAATGAATAAATCATGGGAACAGACGATTGGCCCGCGAGTCCATTTATTTTTTGTCCTACTTCCCTTTCAAACTCTGTTATGTCAAGACCGAATGGAGTGGAAGAGAAGTGTCATATTTGATGTGGAACAATTCTATCATTGCGGGAAAAATGTGATGACGAGGACAACATGGACCAACCTCAATCTTGGAAGAAGTTATATTTCATGTGAAAAGTTTCAGGTATATTCTTCAATTTTTTAAACCCTAACTTTTTAATTTGGTTGGGTTGACGGTGGAGTTTGTCAACTACTATTAAGTACGAAATTTGGGCAGACTAATTGTGGGTTGTTTTGGGAAGAGTAATGGTTTCTTATTTTTGGAGAAATTAATATGTATTGATGGAGAGAATATTGTTAGAGATAAATAGAAATCGTTATTAAGCTAATAAAAGAAATCGAAAAACTGTAAAGGCGAGAAATGTAGAACAAATAGAATTTGACGATCTATTGAGGCGATCGACAAATAGAATTGAATGTTTCTTCGGAAGATTATGTAGTATGGAGGTTGTATGTTTGTTACAACTTATCTTGAGAAGTGTCCGAAGGCCTTTTTATACACGAAAAAGAGAAAAGTGTAATAAATGCTCGGTACCAGCTAAGGGCTTAGGGTGGCACCACATGTCTCCATGCAAAATATCGACTTTTGATGATGGGACTGGTTGGGCGTTTTTTATAATCATGCTTTCTCAATTCCATGTTCATATGAGAGAGAGATTGTCTTTCTTGAAGGGGAAGACATGAGATTGGATCGGCATTGTGGGATGGATTGTTGGTCAGGGAGATCGACGCATTCTGCTAGTAGTGGATTTTGTGTTGCTTTCTTTGTGGTTCTCTGGCCCAATAGGTAAAGGCCTTAGTATCTATTTGTCTGGGCTCAAGGGGCTCGTTCAGAGTACATGCAATTTTATGTACAACAAGGACGCCCGCAGGTTTCCAGGTGTGGAGGAGATCGCCGAGACGCTTGGGAAGCTATCATGCAGTCTTTTTGAACATTATGGAGCGATTGTCAAACATGATAATCGATCATTGCATCAACTGTGTTGGTAGGAGATGGAACGCGATAAGATGTCTTTTCAGTAGAAGTATTAAATGAAGGGTCGTATCCCATCAGAGTTGTCTTTTTAGAACTGAGCGCGACTCTTGGATGCACGTCTTATTGGGATAAGGTGCAATGATTGGAGGAAAATTGAGACCATCTATATAAATGGTGAGTTCTCCCAAGACTTAGAGTTTTTTTTTTTTTTTTCAAAACAATAATATTGCTCAAACGAAAAAAGGATTTTACAACCGCATGGCATACTAGCCATAATACAACCCAGAGAACCACTCCAACTCGGTGGCCTAGAACAACACACAAACAAGAACAACAGGCATAACAGAAGTTATGGAGACCTGTGCCCTCAGTACAACCTAACACACAAACAGCAAACCGAAAAACTAACAACAACATATAAATCCAAGCCACTGAACCTGAAAGGACCTAGCTATGGATAACACAACTTGTACAAAACAAAACTAATACATAAGATAGCCTCAAGAACAACAAACAACCTCAGACCACTCTCTGTGAGCTAGCTTGACTACAGTCTCCTCAGGCATCCATGCATTTTGGAAGACCCATAAATTCCGGGACTTCCACACCCACCACAAGATGTAAGTTGACAGTTGAATGCGAGCTTCAGAAATTGGTGTCAGCTTCATTTCTGCAATTTGCCACCACCAACCTTTAAAGCCTGTGTATGCAGCTTCAGTGAAATCCCAAGACAAAGTAGATGCCTTCCGCACCTGCTGTGCTCTCCTGCAATAAAAAATATATGTGCAACAGATTCCCTAGCCTCCCCGCAGCATCTACACACAGGATCCATATCAATTCTCCTGTGCAGCAGATTCTGAGCAACTGGTAAATTGTTTGTGAAGTGTTCGCTAATTATTTTCACTATCTGCAAGTGTACGGAGTAGCTATAGGTAGTGGCGAGCAAGGTCGTATACCACAGAGATTGTAGTTAAATTAATTAAGTACTAAAATAATGACGACTAAATATTATCTAGACTAATGAATTGGATGATGATTATTAACTAAGAAATTAAACTAAGAACTAATCTAACTAAAAATAAAAATAAAAATAAACAAAGAAACAAAATGTAGATTCTAGGCTAAGCGTTCCTCGGAATTAATTCATGAAACGTTTATATTCAAACAAACCTTATTTAATTTTACCAATCGTAGAGATAATCGCTAAATTGATTTCAAACCTTTCTCTCGAACAAGTCAAATCGTAGATATTAATTGTTATCTATCTCCTCTCGGTCTCAAGATGAACAACTAACTCCCATAAGTTCCTAGGATTTTCGTTCTCTCGCAAGGTCCTATCAACCTCTCGGTCT